CACACACACACACACACACACACATAATACTTAGTCAAACCGCGCACAGCGCTCCCAGTAACCCAAAACTCCGTGACCCCGTGACCCCGGTCACCGGGTCAGCACATGGCCTTCGTTATAACAGGTCAGCAACACCAGTTCACTGCTGATGCCCAGTGGTGGATGTTTTCTTATCACTCTTTGCTTTTTAATGTGGTGGATGTTTTCTTATCACTCTTTGCTTTTTAACAAACATTAATAATATTATATTAATCTCATGGAAAATCACACACTGAACAATCGATACAGACAAGTAAATCAAACAACACAGACTGAAGATCACAGTCGAACCTGCCTTAACGGAAACCTGTATAAAACGGAAACCTGTCTTAACGGAATCTCCCCGCTCCCCCCTTAATATATTCCTCTTTAATTACCTGTACAAAACGGAAACCTGTCCAACGCGGAAACGGAAGAAAAAAATCCGCTCCATTCCGAGGGTTTCACCAATCTAAGACGGAAAATGCTTTACCCGCTCAGCCCTGATTTGAAACAATACTCGCAAGTTTGGTTCCGCCCGCTCTAAACTTATTGCTATGGCCATGCCGCTGGGCTCGATGTACAGAAAAGTGGGAAGAAATGGAATAACATCAAGAGGCTAGCCCAGGATAGAGAAAAGTGGGAGGTGTTTGTCCGTGGCCTATACCCTGGTGCAGGGTGAGAAAGGCAATGATGATGATGATGCCGCTGGGCGAGGAAGCGGAGTAGGGGTGCAATTTGGGGGTAGATGTGAACCTATCTTGTGAGCCCTGAGCGATACAGATGGTCAGTGTAGAGTGGTTGTGAAATCTCACGACTGCCCGTTAGAGTGCTCGAGTAGCAAGCCACGACGAAAACTTTCCTGGGTAGCCAGAAGCCAGAGTGCCCAGAGGTGTGAAATTTAATTGACCAGTGCCTGCCGCCCTGATCGTAGGGCCAGCCGAGAAAAGAGTTCATCGAATCGTTGTTACATGATCGCAGTGAGGGGTGGCATTAGTGGGTGGGGCTAAGGGTGGAAGCAAATGAGATGTTCAAACGTTTCTGCTTTTAATAGGTCAAACAGTGGTCCAATGAAAGGCAAACTCTGGTGGTAATTGGATAAGTAATACTGACGCATGTCATTATCAGACAGGATAGCAATTGAGAGGTGTGATGTTTTGACCACTGCTTGCCGATCGGACAAGCGATCATTGATCCCACCGGCTGTGGGCCTTTGACCCCCCCCCCCCCCAACCTCCATCTCCCCTTAAATTCCCCTGTCTAAGACGGAAAATGTCTAAGACTGAATTTTTTTTCTGGCTCCCTTTCGATTCCGTCTTACACAGGTTCGACTGTAGTTTGGGCACGCGGAAGCGATCGTGAAACTGAATAGGGAAGGCCTCCTGTTCCAGACACACAGTTGCCAAAAAATTACATAGATCTAGATCTAGTAATTATTCAAAGTTGTTAAGGGGTCTGATATGTTTAATAAAAGTTGAACTTGATCTCCACCTACGATTTTGACAATATTAAAGTCGTATGATGGAAATAAGACAAAACTAAAATACTCACTTGGTGTCGTCATTGAACATTCCTTCAGCGCAAAGATATTGAAGCTTGCATATATAGAATCACTGAAAATCCGTGTCCTGAATAAATTGATAATTTTAATAAGTTATCACCCCAGTGCACTTGTTACTCATTTACACATGTACATATTATTATATGCAGGGCTACTCCTAAAACTGGAGAAATTCGTCAGTCCGGTGTCGTTTTCCTGCGTTTGACTGGTGGTGCAGAGCAGACGCAAGCAGTTCCGGGGAGCTTTGAAGGTGCTGTGATCTCATGATCACCTTCAGCTGTCGTTCTTTGTTTTGATGAATGCTGCTCGCCCGTGCCGTTTGGCCACGGAAGAGTGAATGAGCTCTCACTCTCACCCTTGCTCGTCACGAAATGGCAAGCACCAAACTCCTTTTTTCTGTGTCCATGGGACGCAGTGTTTCTCTAGAATATGTTGTTTCGATGACTTTATTGTTGACATTCTTTCTGTACAATGACATAAT